CTAGGACCGTTCTAAACTTTGTGTGCTTGTGTTTGACTTACAGGTGTGTGTTGTGTTTTTCGCTCTGATTCGTCCAAAAGGCCCTTCACTGACGTACAGATGACTGACATCACCTATAAAATTCTGAAGAGCCTCTTTACGCTCACAGCTGGTCTCCTCCATACCTGAGTGCACACACACACACACACACACACACACGTCACACTTGCACACAGTGTGTTTCCTCACAGCTGATTGTATGTGTGTGTGTGTTACCATGATCGGCGACGATGATGATGTTGACACACTGATGAAGGTTGAGTTGTTTGAGGCCGTTCATCAGCTGACCGATGACTCTGTCCACTCCCTGCAGAGCCAAGATCAGCTGCACGCACACACACACACACACACACACACACACACACACACACAAGCTGACTTGTAGGATTTGTTTCATCACCTCTGACTTGCTGTGAAACAAACCTCATCCCACTGGAGGCACTCTAGTGTGAAATGAGCTCCAGCACTTGACAGCCTCACATTTGATGCTGGGAAACCAAGAGTTCATTTCACAGGACTGACACTTTCACTACAGATGCTCTGCCTGACAGACCACAAGATGTCAGCAGATGTTTTGAAGCTGAATGTGTTTTTTCAGCATAAATCAGCGTTTTAAAGCTATTTGTGGCATCAGATGATCATCAACATCATCTGATACTCCTGGCCTTCAGAAGTCAGCGCAGACAGGAAGTGATGAGGAGCGTGTGAGAGAAACATCATCAGCACACACCAGTGAGTCTGTGTCACCCGCTTGTGATGCCTGATAAACACTGCTGAGTGTGTCTGTGTGAGTGTGTGTGTGTGTGTGTGTGTGTGTGTGTGTGTGTGTGTATTTGTTTGTGTGTGTGTGTGTGTTCTCACCCCTCCGCTGACGGGTCCATAACTGTGTCCTGAACTATCAGGCTCCTCCAGGTAGATTGTGAAGAAATCCGGCCTATAGCAGTAGAAACACACACACACAGCGAGACTGAGTCTGAGTGACGAACTGCCAGCTGACCTCGGATGCAGATTCAGCGTTTTCACATCTGTGTATCGTTTGCTTTGCTGTGATATTTATGAATGAGTTTGAGTGGAAATTCACAGCTGCATATCTGCCACTGGGCTCAGAAAAAATAACCTTGTTTCGCCTTTGAATGAAATGGAATTTTCTGACCCCCATGGACAGATATTTTTTTCTGGTTTCAAGGGGTACTTTTTTAACTTTAGTTAGTGTGTAATGTTGCTGTTTGAGCATAAATAACGTCTGCAAAGTTACGACGCTCAAAGTTCAATCAAAATGAGATATTTTCTTTTACAGAATTCACTTTTTAAGGCCTACAACACACGGCTCGTAGGGACTACAACCAGCTTCTTCCTGGGTTGGTGACATCACAAACCCTACAATTTACATAAACCCCGCCCCCGGGAACACGCAACAAAGGGGGCGGGGTCATGTTGGGCTGCTTTAGAGAAGAGGAGGAGCTGTTGTAGTAGAGTGTTGTTGCCATGCCATCGAAACGCTGTTATTTTCACCCCGATTCTTTGTTCGGCCTTCCTAGGCACGCTGCACTTAAGGAACAATGGTTAAAATTTATTTTTAACTTAGTTCCTGAAATTTCTAATCCCAATACAGCTCTCTGTGCTGCACGTTTTATGGAGGACAGCTTCCTCAATCTACGCGAGTTCATTGTCGCACAAAGGCTTGTCCTGAACGATGGAGCAGTTCCCGCTTTAAAAGCAGAAGCTGTTGTTTACGGGCCACAGCCTGTAAGTGTGTTTGATTCTTTGCTGGTGTGTTTTCCATTAATAGTTTCTATCATTTTATGTTGTAGCAAGGACATAAACGAATGGCAACGCTGTTTGGCTCTGCTAGCCAGCGATCTCCGACAAACACCTCCAAACTTCTTAATCCCGCCAGTGAACTTCGAATGTTGGTGTTTATGTGACAAGTGTAAATTATTCTTTGATTAGAGCTTTTATGCAGCGTTTACCAACATGCTCATTTAGCTACAGGCATGCTAAATATGGTCCTGTGTTTGATTTGGCCACTGTAGTAAAGCATGGTTAGTCTTCATACTAGGCGGTTAGCAAATCACAGCACACTGGGCCAGCTAACCAATCTGAGCCCAGGAAAAGACACAAATGAAATGAAGAACTCTAATAATTTTTTGTAATGAATGTAACAGGTTGTGAAAAACACCCGAAAGACACTGAGCAAACAGATCCTGCAGATTCAGACACGTGATGTGATGAAGGACGGTCATGATGAAGATGATTTACCGTTTATCCTCTGGTAACTGCAGCCAGCGCAGAACACTGAAGATCCTCTCCTCATATGGGACCTTCCTACACACACACACACACACACGGTATGATCAGGTCACATGTTCAGCCATGTTTGAGTTCGTTCTGTGAGCTAAAACTAATTCGCTATTAAAGGGGTCATATGATGTTGCTAAAAAGAACATTATTTGGTGTAATGAAATGTGTTTATGCGGTTTAAGGTTAAAAAAACACATTATTTTCCACATACTGTACATTATTGTTTCTCCTCTATGCCCCGCCTTTCTGAAACGTGTCAATTTTTACAAAGCTCATCGGTCTGAAAAAGCGAGGTGTGCTGTGATTGGCCAGCTATCCAGTG